TGTTGTGATTCGTAGAGCTGTTTCGCAGTAGGTAGGTACATCCAACTTCTGTCATCCGATTCGTCTTAATTAGTTTTCTAGATCCGTATTTTCCCATTCAGTATCCGAAGTAGTGTGAAACCTATCTGGAGTAAACATAATCCCTATTCTCTTTGTAACTATTCAAAACACGATCATAACAGGCTAGTAAAGCTAGGTTTCCTGTAAACAGTTTTATTGCGCAGCCGGCTGGAAGTTACGGCCGTTTGACACAGTTCCTGCGGAATCTATTTGTTTTGTTGTTCTTAGTTTTTATTGTAATGGTAACACTAAGGTCACACGATGGTAACACAAGGTAAGGTTGTTTAATATAGTCGCCATTATACAGGGTGGAAACGATAAGTGATCTCATTCGATTATTTCTAAACTATAGGTACAAGATTTATCGAAAAACTGGTTACTGAAAGTGCCTCCACAAGCTCTTGCAAACGGTACGGAAGCTGGAAACATTTAATTTTTGGATAGATCCAGTCTATTCTGTAACCTATAATTGAAACCGTTTGATAGAGCTCATGAAGTACTTTCAGGATCAGTAACTAGTTTTTTGATATCTTGTATAGTTTAGAAAAACTATACTCTCTTATCGTTTTCATCCTGGAGATACTCGTAGTTTTGTAGTAAAATTGCGTCTGTTACCAGCTGGTCTGCTTTTAAAAAAGGTACTATAAATAGTGGCGTAGTATTTACAAACAGTCCCATTAGACGGGTTGTAGTAGTTTAATATTAATTTATAAGGCAAAATCCTCACCGACAAACATAAAATTAAACTGATAAACTAATATAATTAAGTAGGTTAAAAAGTAGGTAACGAAACCTCTCAAGTTTGGAACCCAAAAATTAAGACAAGGAAAGTGCCTACAATTTTCTCATATATTATAATAGAGTATCAGCCTATAGAGTTAAGGAGCACCTACAAAAATGAAACTAATGAAATGAATGTTCCCAAAATGAAGTCTTATTAATAATTTTGGCACATTGTGACCTCAGCTTCATCATCATCATCATTATAACTGACCGATAAACCTTCCATCCGGTCCCAAATCAGTTCCAATTCATCCGGGACCGAACCCGGACCTTTTCGTCCCTTGAAATGAAGGACAACTGTTTACATTGGAAGGCGGAGCGATGAGCGATAGCGGAATTTTATTTTCTTTTTTATGCTAGACAGGGCAGGTATTTGACCGCAAACGCACCTGGTGTCAAATGAGATGCAGTCTAGGATGGTACATGTCTGCCCTGTAAGTGCCTATTCATTCTCACCTCTCGATCTTAGAATCATAGAGCCACAAGAGACTGTATAATTTCACTGCAAAATAGCACTTATTGTAAACTACATAAGATGCTTATCTTGATGAGCTATTGTCTGTTCTCTGTCCTAAACTAAGATGTAAATAAATAAATAAATATATATTTTTGTCAGTTAAATACTCGGTGGTTGGGAATTCCGGGAGAAGGTCGCTTCCACTGCGGCCTAGTATGAGTTTTCATCAAACGCGCTCACTAGTGAGCGCGTCAAAAAATTACATTAAATTTATGACGGATTGTACAGCACCCCTAGCGGAAAACATTCAAAAACTAAAATTTTCATAAAATTTTTTAATGTAATCTCACACCCAGCCCACTTATCATCTCTTTCAATCTTGTGAGATGCAGGCCAAGATAAGGGGATGCCCCTTAGGGACTAAAAAAATGGTTGTGGTGTCTGGTGATTGATAAATAATAAATTTTATATAATATTTCGTTGGGCAGTACATAATAGGTACTGCGCAAAATCGAAACAGATTAGGTACTTACAGAAAAATGTGAAATAAAAACGTGAGGCATTATACTTTGCATTTCGGTCGCTGATCGCTTACATTGAGTCAAGGGCCTTATTAAAGGGATTATAAATAAGCCGCTGGGCTGATAATTCGGATGCCATTACAGCAGGGTAGTCTTGTCGATGGTTTGTTTGTATGGGCATGCTGACAGTTCAAGTGTGTAGAGTCGGCCTCAAACTCTTTCTAAACTCATTCACAAACACACAAAAGTCATTTTATTTTTCCAAGAAGGCTTTTAAAAATCACTTTTACACGTCCCATTATTAACCCTACCACTACGTCGGGACAATAAATGGGCCAGTGCTGAGAAGAAGCAGCGCAAGAAACTCAGTCTGGGCACTTTGGGTCAGAGCAGAGTACCTACTTACAATTTTCAAACCTGTGATTATTATTAAAATCGATGTTGTAAGAGTTGTCATAAAAAAGATTGTAATTCTCTCTCTGTAAGACTCTACTTTTCTTGATTTTTTTTTATCACAAACGAGGAAGCTCTTGGCCTGTATCTCACCTGATGGTAAGTGACGATCAGGCCGAAGGTGGAAGCGAGCTTCACTCGGAATCCTCAACCACGGAGGAACTGGCTATCTTACCTCTAACTGCCGGAACACAATAATGCTGTTAACATTGTTGTTATGGCGACAGACTTAGGTAAGATGGTGGTAGCTAGCCAGGCGGACTTAGCCGAACCAAACCGAACAGAAAAATCTGCCCCCACTGGGAATCGAACCCGGGACTTCAGCGTCTGAAGCAGGTGGTCTTACCACTAGACCACAGAGGCGGTTAAATGATCAATTTCAATATTCTCTGGGGCAAAAAAGTTCTCGAATGGCGACCGCGGACCGAAGGCGTAGTGTGGGCAGGCCTCCCACTAGGTGGACCGACTATCTTTTGAAGATCGCGGGTAGTAGATAGCTGGATGCGGGTAGCGCAGGACCGGTCGTTGCGGAATAGGCTAGTTTCCTAAAAAAATTTTTTTAGTCCGTAATTTTTAATATCAAAAAATATTGGACACATATATTTTTATTTGTCAATCTAACAAATAATTACATAGTTATGGTGCGTTGAAGTTCCGCACGACGTCACAACGTGCGGCACTTTTATGCACGCATTGACGTCACGGGCCTCTTCTTATGAACTTTGGCGCGCTTTATCTATTTAAATTTTCATTAGTTTGAAAAAGTGAAAAATACGTGTAGAGTATTTTTTGATAAGTTAACTGACGGACTAATTAAAACTCTTGCTTTTTGACCCAGGAAACATTATTATTCCTTGGGGAGGCCTTTGTCCAGCAGTGGACGTCATTTGGCTGAAACGAACGAATCTGGGTAAGCCCTTCTAGGTGCAGTCAGCGTCAAATAGTTCGTTACATCCAAAGTGGCCATAAAGTTGATAAGCCATGTATTCATTAGGCAACATTTGTTGATAAACCGTTTATGACTAGTGTGAAACAAGTTTACCATAAACACAGGTTTCTGAAACTTGGCCGTCCACACTTGCTCTCCACTCATAGCGGGGAGCACGGCTACATGCATCATAAACAATGTTTCATCACCTATGTTTATGGACTGTTTATTTTAAACTGTTTACAAAGATGATGAAACATTATGAAACATTGTTTATGAACAGTTTATAAACAGTGTTTATCAACAAATGTTGCCTAATGAATACATGGCTTTGTAACAAAGCATGTTACGAACTTATTGACTACTTTAGGTGTCATGAACTATTTGACTGACTGTACGCTGCCTACTAAGCAGGTAAATTCAATTTAGAACCTTATTTAGGTAATTACTCTGCTTAATGTAATTTAAATTAGTAATCGATCTCATTATAATGCATTAGTTTCTAAGCTTGAACTAAATGAATATTGTATAAACCAATATACTCGCGTCTTCGCACGAAATTAACGTGTAAATGTTGTTAGGTAGAGCCGCGGTCTGAACAATAGCGATTAGTAGAAAATACCTACTTATTTATAATTTCCCTATACATACAGGGTGGCATATAGTGCCCTATACAGGCTTAGTTTCCCTTTATAATTCTGTAACCTATTATTGATATAATTTAAAAGAGCTCGTGGAATACTCACAGGATATTTTTGGTTATACACTCGGCATCAAATAAATCGCACCTCCCGCGACAAGCACTTATCAAACGTATGCATCCCCACTTCCCACCAACATTGGTACCATTTGAAAGCCTAGTTCTAAACTTCATTTCATTAAAGGAAAGGTTTTTACCCCAAAAATGTGTCTTTACAAGGATCCAGAGTCATTTCTTCAAAAAATAGGTAGATACGCTATAGCCATTTTTTATGACTATAAAACTGTTAAGTTGGGATTAATCGCTATCCATCTGTTAAAGAGGACACGTGAGATCTTTATTTGGTTTTATAACCATAAAAATTGGTCTAATTGATCCCAGAGGTGAGCCCAAAGTGAGGTCTATTTTCAAGTCACATTTATGGTATATGTTAATCATTTATTTAGAAATGAAATGTATGTTTCTTTAAGGATATTTATTGGGCTTTCAAATAACACCAATATTGTTAGGATTCCATGATTGTGTCAGAAGAAAATCTTTAAAGTTCGCGTCGCGGAAGGTGCGGTTTATTTGATGTTGAGTGTATTTAGTTTTTTTTACAAAATTTGACGAAAACCTGATATAACTTTTTTCCTCGCTTGTTTTTAACCAATTTTTTTATTTGATATCAATATCGAATATTTCTTTAGTCAAATAAAATAAATTTCAGATCCAAGTTATGATTGGATAACTGGTTACTAGCTGCCAAAGTTTAGTAAAAGTACAAACACGATAAAAAATCTACTTACAATTGGATTTAAAAAAAAAATAAAGATGATATGGATTGTTCTTTCCAATGATATATCACATTTATGAGATAATATGTGGTACCTCAGTGTACAGTGTATAGTTGTAATAAATATTATTATTATGCAATAGAGATGTAGGTTTAAAGTCAATAATCTTTGCATTATGATGACTGTTCTTTTCGTAAAGATAATAATCTAGCAAATATATAATGATAATATCGACACGAACACTTTTGTTTATGTCAATTAGTGATTCATTGTGATAAACAAACTGTATTAAGATACAGTTTGTTTATCGATAAGTCGAACGAACCATTGAGATGTATATAATGTATATAACATAGTAATTAAGAGGTTCTGACATAGTAAGGCAGTAGCTAGACGGGTTTACGTGTGGAGAAAATTAATTAAAAATTCCAAGGTAAGTTCCCTATTAATAGTTTGTTTACTTTTACTTATATGGAAGCAACAAGCAACTTCCCTTTGTTTTGCCGACTTAAGAAACGATAAAGTTTTCAATAATTGAATTGAAATACGAATTAATCGTTATGCCTGTTTCTCTAATGCTGATTTTTTATGATTTGTGTTTTTCTGGCATTATTTAAATATCTTTTTTTGTTTTTATTGTATTGCCAATCCATTACTTAATTTTTTTATTTATTATTATTATTTTCTACCGGTTGCTTATCCTTATTTACTAGCGTCTGCATGAGGCTTATTTGTGAATTTCGAGGAAAAGTATCCTGAATTCTAATAATATAGCCTAATTTTGAAGTAAAAGTGTCAAACTTTCGCGATTTAACTGATGGAATTTTGTTTACAGATGAAATTCGCACTATCCTTGGTTATCCTATCGGTGCTGGCCTTCAGCGAGGCTGGCCTGCTGAAGGACCCCTCCAACGCCAACTCCTCCAGAGCCAACCTCAACCACGGCTCCATCCAGCCTGGCGACCAGCTGCTTTACAGGTGAGCATGAGACTTTGTTTAGATCGATAAGTACTCTTTTGTCGACGGGTACTAAAACTCAAGAGTATCTTTATTAAGATGCTAAGAAAAAGTGTTTCTTAGCACCTCTAGTATATACTTTTAATCTCATAGCAGACTTATTAACTCGGAAAGGGATCGCATTTCGCTAAATTCACATTTCCTCTTCCCAGAACAATCTTTCGAAGAAATGGCATTGCCTGGACGGTCCAGACTCATGACTTCGTCTACCAAGGCAACGAGACCACCAGTATCAGTGCAGTGATATTCCAAGAGGTTGGCAACACCCAGCACGCGAACCCCAGGGTGATCGCTGGAGGCAGGGGCTTCAACCACGTCACGGTGCGCGTCCAGACTGCTAGGGGATGGGGATTCACCTTCCAGGTCGACATTTGGGGGCAATAGATACTAACCCTCTCTCTGATGTTTTGCTGTGCCCTTGCAAATTATAACGTGACATGCAATAAACGTGTTCAATTTGATATGATATTTAGCTTCAAATGGAAACTGATGATTGTGAATTTGATATGATATTTTAGCTGCAAATGGAAACTGAATTTGATGTTATTTTCTAAGCAATATTTTTTACAATAAACCAAACAATTACTGAAATTACTTTATTTTTCATTCTCCTGTTCTAATTCACTATTATGTTTAGCTCAGATATTAACGGTGGTTTTATATCAACAGTCTTTCTTGGTACTAACCAGGATCAGTGCAGTGGTAGCCCAAGAGGTGGCTACACCCAGTACGCGAACGCCAGGGTGATCGCTGGCGGCAGGGGCTACAACCACACCACGGTGCGCATCCAGTGGGCTTAGAGTAGGCGCACACCGTTGATTTTTAGTTGACCGATAGTTGTGCCCGATTTTAAATTGTATGAAGAATCGTCCAAATCGAATCGGTGTAGTGTGCGCACTCCCATACATGCCCATACTGATCAACTGCCCGACTAAACTATCGGCCGATGAAAAAACAACGGTGTGCGCCTACTCTTAGTGTGAGTTTACGTCAAACATCCCCACTAGTAAGCGACAGATCCTACTTTCCAAGTAGGATTTTTTAAAATAAAAGTATACAGAAAACCATTAAAGTATTTCTCAATAAATTCTGATACTTACAAAGAGATAAAAAATGAATCAGCAAGAAAGATAAGTATCTCTTTATCAACTAATTGATCTTAATTCATTTATCATACAGATAAAAACTAAAATGATGTTTGTATTGTGTAAAGTTGAACCACAGAATAAGTAATAGTATCAAGGGTTCGAAAATAAATCTTGTGAAAAAAAAATTTGGGGCAAAAAAGGAGAGTGCCCAGCAAATAAAAAAATAAATTCCTTCACCATTGATACTCGCTTGCAGTCAAACCCCGGCCTGAACGTTCCAAGAAATATTAATTATGTAAACAACCTACATAGAGAGTAGATAATTAAAAGGGGTATCATATGCCCCTCTAGCGTGAACATGCGGTGACGTCAGAGCGCTATTGTCTTGTTAATAGGTCTGTGTTCCGGCCAAGAGAGGGTTGTATGTATACTAGGATTCGTCCACGGATTTTCTTATTTAAATTATAGAGAACGCAAATATTTTTTTATCCACAACGACGGAAGCAACGAAAGCTCTTGGCCTGTATCTCACTTGATGGTAAGTGACGATCAGGCTGAAGGTGGAAGCGAGCTTCACCCGGAATCCTCAACCATGGAGGAACTGGCTATCTTACAGGACCGCTGGTATTAACCAGTAGTCCTGCAGACATTGTCCTGGTCAAACGTTAAAATATTCCTGGAACCTTAATTTGCAGGATCCAACTAATCGAAATTCTGCCAGGGTGCTTAGTTTCAAATACACGCACACAAATCAAAATCAGACCTGTGAGGAGACTTAGGAGAAGTTTAGTGACTCACACGAAATCATTGAGGAGGAATACTAGGTATATTAATTCCATGTTTAGTTCAATGCATGAAATTAACTCTGTGAAACGTTTTTCACTCCTATCAAGTTCGTTAAGTATTGATTTGGCCTTGAAGAAGGACATATTCATAACATAAGCTATATATAAGGGATAGGTACGTTTTATAGCAAGAATACTTGACTTTATGAAAAGAGGAATGTTCGCATTACTCGCATGGGTAATCAATCAATCTCCCTTCCATCACGGAACGAGTTACGAGACGCAGGTTGGCGTGTCATCCCTGTTTTCGACATTCTACCAGACGCAGACCCCACAAAGCGTTTTGCTAACTCTTTTATAATGCAAACAGCTTTAAAGGCATGCAAACAGGGATTGAAACTAACTAGCTGCCTGCTGATATGAAGTTAAGTACAGTGCCGGATTAAGCCAGCGCGGGGCCTGTAGCAAATTTCTATCAAGGGGCCCTTGGTTTGCTTTAGGTTCTCAAGTTTAGGGTATTAAATGAAACAAAACTGTTATCTACAAATGAACTTTACTTGATTTAATGTGGGCAAATTTAGAGATAACACTTTCAATATCAACTTCTTTAAGGAAATCATGCTCTACGAGTATATTCAACAAAATAAGATGATTAAGACGTTCTTGTCCCATCGTGTTCCTTAATTAATTTTTAATACGTTTTAATGTTGAAAAAGAACGTTTGCCACTGCAGTTGGTGATCATGAGAGACATGTAAATGCGCAAGGCAATTTCTAAGTTTGGAAAACACGATTCTAAAGAATTATTTATTTAAAGTTTATAAAATTGCTGCTCCAGAGGCTCCTGTTTCTTGCTGTCAATAAGAGTAGCCACATCTGTTTTAAGATCAAGTAAGTCAAGAAATCTGTTTTCAGAAGCTCTGCAAACTGCACTAATTCGCCACCTAGGCTGTTCTCCAAATCAATTAACATACTGACAGTAGTTTCACAGTTCATTTATGAAAACCTTTTATATTATGTTCGCAAAAATATAGAGCAATTCACGAAAAAGAGCGATTTGCATAACTTTAATACAAGAAACAAAAATAAACTTGCCGTTCCAAATTTCTAGGCCAGTAGAATTAGATTTTGAATCGGAAATAATTCCTACAAAAGATTTTATTGCTTTAATGGCTTCATTGGTTGCCCATTAAGACTCTACTAGGTTTTCGACTTCGACGGAGTTGTGCTTAAGTGGTGGGGGCCTCCGAAAGGGGCGTTTTTTCGGTTTTCCGGTTATACCGCGTAAAGGACTTACCGTATCGAAAAGTGGTCTTCAGGACGGTTAAAGGGCACTTAATTCTGCATTGAATAAGACCAAATTCATATGTTTTGGACAAACCGTTCTCGTGCTTATCTTCGACAAAGTAGAAAATGTACGTATAATTAATAACCCTCTCTATGTCCAATAGCTCGTCACCCGCAGGCTCCCAAGCCTTGTAAAGGGCCGCCTTAACCAGCTTATCCCTGTCAAGGCTCGCGAGTTGGATTCGCTTATCCTTGTTCGTCCCAGCCGATCCTTAACTGCGGTTGCTGCACCTCTTCCTTGCACTCTCCTGAACGACTCTGTGTTATCTACTATGGCTGCCCCTCTTCCTTGTACCCTCCTGTACGACTGTATTACTTAGCCGTATGCCTGGTCCAAGGTTCGACGCCAAAAATCAACAACAACAAGTTCATATTAATGAAAACCGAAAAAACGCCCCTTTCTGGAGCCCGCACAACTCCGTCGAAGTCGAAAACCTAGAAGAGTCTTTATGGGCAACCAATGAAGCCATTAAAGCAATAAAATCTTTTGTAGGAATTATTTCCGATTTAATTCATTTTTGTGTTTAATTCTACTGGCCTATTCAGACTGCATAAGATTGGTAATTCATTTATGGGAAAATGTATTAAATTCTTTAATAAATTACCACAAACTGTTGTAGAACTACCCATTGACCATTCATAAATTCAAAGCACATATTAAAAGTAGGTACTTTAATGAAAAAGGGCTACTATAAAGTCGATGATTATTTAAAAGATAAAAATGTTTGGGATGCGTTACTGCCTAGCTCGCATAAATATTTATAGTTAACTTTGTACATTTTAAAGCCTGTACCTTTGAAAAAGAGGCAGACAATAGTGACTGAGTTTCTTGCGCTGCTTCTTCTCAGCACTGGCCCATTTATTGTCCTGAAGCAGTGGTAGGGTTAATACTGGGACGTGTAAAAGTGCTTTTTTTAAGCCTATTTACAGAAATAAATGAGTTTTATCGATTATAATTAAACATTAGAACATTCACGGTAAAAAGTTTGTAAAATACCTACCTACTTATTTTTATGATTTAACGTGATGAAATAGAGTTTTAGATTTTCAAGTGAAAGTAAAGCATAGCCTAAGCACTTCGCGTTTAAGGCATGCAAGATATTTTACGCTCCTATCTAAATTAATCTTTTTTTTATATCGGTCAGACAGGCGTTGGAGCGCGGGCGCGGGGCCCCCAAATTCGCGGGGCCCGTAGCATTTGCTACTCTTGCTACGTGGCCAATCCGGCACTGGTTAAGTAGGCACTATGATTTGGGCGATTTCAAGACAAGAGTGAATGGGATTTTGACATAATTACTTTTGGATTTACATGTAAGTTTACTATCAGGACGCGTCATGACAATGTTGCAAATATAATGGAAAGTATTAAATCTGAAATCGCTTCGCTTTGGAGAATTTGTATGCAGTTACTTCGTATGAAGCAATTTCGAAATCATGAACGTCAGGTTCTCTGGGACGAACGAATTAAAATCTCCTTAGACAAAGTCGCGGGGAGACGCTAGTTTCAAGAGCTTTGTATCTTCACTATCACTATCCTACTAATATTATAAAGGCGAAAGTTTGGATGTCATGATGTCTGGATGTTTGTTACTCTTTCACGTAAAAAACTACTGAACGGATTTTGTTGAAACTTTACAGTGTCATTGTTTATAACCCAGAACAACATACAGGGTGGAAACCTCAGATCATAGAAGGGAATAGATGTGAAACGGGGGCGTGGCGCGTGTCTCCGCGATATGCCCAGAAACGAACATCGGCCGCGACGCGACGCCAGGTTAGTCGCGATTCAGTCGTACTGAGGAAATGTTCTCCGATATTGTTGGATAATGCGTCGTAACGTGCAATAACATAAGTGAAACGAAGAACTACAGGAACAATGAAGTCATTTACCACATGTAAGTATTGCAAATCCATTGGTATTTTGCTTATAAATAAAAAAAACTAAACATTTTTACGAACGAATTCAGTGCCGTGACATTTACTGCGATATCGAAATTAGTGGTGATAAAAATTCAAACACGTTGTACATTGACGATTTAGTTAGCAACCACTTTATGTCATGCGTAACTACTGCGCAATGTATTTTATTTCTTCCGATATCCACTGACGCGTGAAAATACACAGTACGGCCGCATGTGCCGGTCGTAACATAGTGCAGGGCTCGTGTTCTAATACGGTTTCCTATTATCGATAAATAGAAGTAAATTATTATTTTCTATTTTCTAATTTTGAATGAAAAAATCATGAGTTGCTTGCGATTTTTAAGTTTTTACAAAAACAATAACAATAGTAGAAGGGATTAGTAACTGTCAACTATGTAATTACTATAAGAGCTAGTTGAAAGCCTAATATAGGCATTATTTTTGATAAACATA